TGATGATGCTACTGATGATGATATTGATGATGCTACTGATGATGATATTGATGATGGTGATGATGATAATATGATGGCAAAGACTGGTAATAATTATTGATGATGATGATTGATATAATTAATGGCATTGATGATGATTGTAAAGATTGCTGGTGATAATATGGTAATGACTAATGATGGTGATGATTGATGACATTGATGATGATGTGATAATTGATAATGATGTTTGGTTCTGGTGATTATGATGGTGATGATGATGATTGATGATGATGATTGATGACAATGGAAGTTGTAGACAATGTTGAAGATTAATGATGATGATTGATAGGATATATTAATAGCATTGCCTTTCTATTCCCTCAGAATTGGAACCAAAATGGCAACTATCCTGGAGACGACAATTCATCCATGTCATTGGTCACRATTGGACGGCTGCAGCCTGCTAGCATACCTCAGAGTACTGACCTTGTTGACACCCCTACTGTTACGGAGTTCATCTCAAGGCACAGCCTAGATGGCAAGTTTACCTTTGTCGACCAAAGGTAAGGAAATTGCAGGGTTTCTACAGCTGAGAAAAAGACTTGGAATCCAGGGGCAGACTTAGAAGGGCTGTCTGTGTTTAACATCTTTAAGTAAAAAAGGATCTTGGACTGCCATTTGATGTGGTCATTYATTAATAAACCTTCAATAAATCTATCTGTGACTGAGGAAAATGAACTTAACAAATAGACATCAGTTTTTTATGTGTCTATCCTCTTATTGATGATAAATTGCGTCATCACATTGTCAAAGTAGTAAGTATCATCAATAAGTGGACAGACACATAAAAAACTGATGTCTTTTTGTTTTTTACAATAACAAAAACAATAAAAACTTCTCATTTTTAGCGACCAAAAMACCAAACAGAAAGAGCGAGCGCTTGTTGACGTCAGCTTTAACTTTCTGTCCTTGTTAATGATGATAAAAATAACCAATCAGCGCACGAGAAATTTGTAAGTTATTATAAAAATCTGTTTTGTTCGTTTACAGGGTGACAGAAGTCATGGGRTATCAGCCTCAAGAACTGCTAGGGCAGCTCTGCTTTGATCTCTTCCATCCTGAAGATCTAAAACACATGACAGAAAGCTTTGAACAAGGTGAAGAAAACTATGAAGAATTACCTGGTTCTGCTGACAGACTAAATCTTGTTTATTGACTGCTGACTCATTGACTGATCAACCTGATCAACCCTCAATCAACTTTCTTACTCATTGAGGATGTGATTAATATTAATGTATTTTTTTTATTCTAGTTATTAAACTAAAAGGTCAGACACTATCAGTTCGTTACCGGTTCCGGAATAAAGCTGGAGAATGGGTTTGGACMAGGACAAGTTGTTTTAGCTTTCAAAATCCATATACTGATGAAGCAGAGTACATTGTCTGCACAAACAACATAGTGAGCAAGTATGTTATTTAGGCTGTATARACTGTATGTTAATGTTGTTGCTGTTATCTGTTTGAATGTCATCACTTTCACCATTACTCATCATCATCACTATCATCACTCATCATCATTGTCACTCATCATAATCAACATAATTCATCATCATCATCGTCAGTATCATCACTATCATCTCTCATCATCATCATTATCATCATCATCACTATCATCATCATCATTATCATCATCATGCATTAGCTTTTGGAGCTAGAGGTCCACGGTTCTATACTCAGGATCTCCACACCTGTTTTGACTTCTCTCTAATCTGTGTAGCTTCAGCTTTAAATAGTCTTAAAACAGAGCTCTGATGGAGATTGGGTAACATGCACACCACGGCTTCCTGGAATACCAGCCTTGTAGCTGAAGGAACTGCCTCTTTTAACTTTATAGTGCACTAACATCCTTTAAGCATTACATTTGAATATCACCAATCAAGCTGGGGAGTTTTAACTTGATACATAMCACTGATATCAGCTTTCAGATAGAGACGTCATTACCACAGATCATGGCAAGCCCAAGCTTGTCATCCAGGGGAAGTAATGGTCCCTACAGCACCAACAGTGCTGGCTCTGATTTCTCTCAGCTTTCACCGGCAAACAGTCTTACAAGTCCTGAAATACAACAGCAACAAATCCTACATCAACAGGCMTTACAGCACCAGAGAAGTGCTGCCAGTCAGGCCATGCCTGGCGAGGACAATATTTTYCACTTTCCTGGACAATCTAAAGGTGAGATTCCTGGTCATTTATTTCATGGTTGCAAAACTTTTGTATGGAAAATACCATTATTCATGGAGGATTAACTAATTTAAGATTCAATGACCATAGACTGGATGGAAGTTACTTTAGGACTGGAACRATACAATGGGCTTCTGGTGTCGCAMTGTAATGAGTTCAAGGCATTGTGTTAAAGGTTTTGATCAACTTTAGGACAATTTAGTTCACATTTCATGTGATTTTGGGATCAAACAAGGATAACACTTCAGTGTCTGTTGCCATAGTGTCCTATCTATCTTAAGGATGTTCGCTGGAAAATGAAGTTGCAATCAGAATTTTTTTAAACTTGGCATAAACATACCCAAACATATTCTTTTTCAAAAAATGAAATAAAAAAATGAGGTAACTGAATTTATTTTTTGCTAAATGCTGAGGAAATATGGTATTCATCAAGGGAAAAACACACTCTATAGAGTAACCTGAGGGACCAAAGAAATCCTTGAAATAAGATCAAAAACATCAAACAAATTCATGGCCATCAAATATGACCTTGTTTAACATTTCTGAATTAAAAGCATGAGAGTAAAGGTGATAACACGCTGTGCAACATTGCACGCAACATTGCAAGCCAAAAGTTTGAATCAGGATGACACACATTGCAATGAAATCATGCAACATCACTTGTGTCAGCCTGCTATGTTAAGATATTTGGACAGCAGTTATTAATGTGGAGAAAGCTGATTGGCTGGAAATTTCAAAATGTTGCAGGTAATGTTGCAGCTATGTTCACATGAAGAAATTTGTTACGTTGCGCGCAATGTTGCAAGAGTAGAGTGCAATTCAACTTCAGATTAAATTGTTGCATGCAACGTTGCATGCAACAAGTTTGGGGTAGACACGCTACAACAGTCCTGTTGCATGCAATGTTGCACCGTGTGTCAGCACCTTAAGAGTTAGTGATAAGGATTTATGAGACTTTCAGTCCTTGCGATGCAGTCAAAATGCGTACAATTTGAATTCATTAACAGGTGGATTTTTTTCCTAAATTCCTTGTCAATCAGTCCCTTGCAATCAGAATTTTTTTAGATTTACATATTTTGTAGGTTTTGATAGTATCTTTATTTTAAGACAAAGAAAAATGGGGGTCACCAAACTGGTTTCCGAGATATTTTGCCGTAAAGAAATGAGAAATGGGTTTTCTTGATACTTTGCTTATCAAAACATTAAGATGACGTCATCATAATGAGCGCGTGCACTAAACTCATCCATAGAAAGTCTGCTGGCAAACAATGCCCATGAACGTCCTCTAACTTTATAATTATTTACACTTTTGACATCTTTTGTTTTTGTTTTGCCCCCTGGCAAGATGGCTGCCATATTGTCAAAGTAGTGCATTAACCAGAGGGTTTCTTTTTTTGATTCTTTGATGTGTGTGTTTAATATAAATAGCATTTTTTTTCTTGATTAAGGTGCACATCATGTATCAGAGAGTGGATTGGATGCACTAGCAAAGGTATACATATCATWTATTAATTATTTACATCATCCATTTGACTATAATAATATAAGAACTATTGGAAAAGAATCTTTGTATTTTCATATTTTTTGGAACTTTAGGCTGGTGAACTTAGTGAGAAAAGAGGTTTAACGTCAAYGATCAAAGGAAGTCCTGTAGATATCTCAGCCAATCAAATGAATCAACCCAACATGAGCTATAAAGAAACAACCCTGAACCGTGGTGTTTCCCAGGAAGGACCTGGACAAAATGGTACAGGGATGCTTCCACCAGGTGTTGACCAAGGATCCAAGARTACCACAGGTAGATAGACCATTTTCTACTTCAGTTAAATTTGATCCAGTAGAGTGCAAACAATAAATCCGTGAAACACTAATTGCTAAATAGTACAAAATAGTGCTAATTAAACAATAGAAAACAATGGAATTTTCAAGAAATTGTACTATTTAGTATTGCTAAAATTTAACGGTTATATTGTTTGCAATCTATTACTGCTATTTTCCTAAACGTGGTAGTTGTGAGCTACACACTGAGATTTTTTTTTTTTTTGCTGCTGCCAATCAAAAATAATCAGTCGGTACCTTTTATGTTCTTGACTGGCGGCAGTTAAAAGCCAATTTGACAACAAGGCATTGAAAGGTCTGAGTTTGCAGATATCGAAAACCACAGTAAGGATTCATATAGAATAGTTAAGCAACATAGACTATACTTTTCCTTTTTCTTATCCATTCTTATTCCTATTTCCTACTTGTTTTAATCCAATCAGCAGATTTAGACAAGACATTGGATTTCTCTACTGGCCAGGCAGGCAGCTTACTCGCTGCCTTAGTTCAGCGCCGGCAGGCTTTGGCAGCAGCTTCGGGCRTTTCCACAACAATAGCTACCTCCACTATTCCTCAAGCAGCACTCTACAGTCAGCTTATGTCACAAATGAACGGAGGAATGACTATGTTGCCACCAGGAATGGGTAGAATGATGCAGCAACAAGGAGGAATGGGACAAATGTCACCAGTTGACATGATGAGAGGGCAACAASCTGCTAGTGCCGCTGCCATKGGTGACTTAAGTCCTGGCACATCTATGCCATACAGTGGTGGTGCTAGAAAAGTTGATTCCAGAGACATGCCACAGGTATCCCAGAAAGGGTCTTATTCCCATCTTCTGTCAGAGAATATGAATCGTAGTGTCTCCTCAGTACCTTGGCCTGGAATGCTCAGTGGACAAATGGAGGGCAGCTCGTCTAGTAACAGCCCTCAGTCTTCTGGTATGTACGGTCAAGTTAAYGCWCCAAATACTTCCAGTGGCCGCAGCACTGCAAGCAATTATCCCTACTATCAGTAAGAATTGAACATTGGTACCTT